AATATCTCCGGTTAGTCCCTGATCAGAAAGTTCTCGATTCGATTGGTTAATCAATATATGGTAACAATTTTGCTTGAATGCTTCTTGATTTGTCATCAATCGAAAAAAAAAAAAAATTATATATATGAGCCAACCGTTAAATAATTTTTTTTACTTTTGAAATTTGAAAATTTGAAAAAATGGGTCGTCGTCCAGCACGTTGTTATAGATATTGTAAAAATAAACCGTATCCAAAGAGTCGATTTTGTCGTGGTGTTCCTGGTATTTAATGTTAACTAAAAAATTTTAGTTTTATACTTAAATATTGTATTTATGAAAAATCCGTATTTGAAAAGATCCAAAAATTAGGATTTTTGATTTAGGACGAAAGAAGGCAAATGTCGACGAATTCCCTCTTTGCATTCATTTACTTTCTGATGAATATCAGCAGTTATCAAGCGAAGCATTAGAAGCTGGACGTATTTGTGCCAATAAATATATCACAAAAATGGCGGGCAAAGATTCTTTCCATTTGAGGGTTCGTGTTCATCCCTTCCACGTTATTCGTATCAACAAAATGTTGTCTTGTGCTGGTGCTGATAGGTAATAATAGTGAATGATGGAGGATATTTATTTTATTTTTTTTTCATTTCATCTAAATAAATATTGCATTTTTATTAAGATTGCAAACTGGTATGCGAGGTGCATTTGGTAAACCTACTGGTACCGTTGCTCGTGTTGATATCGGACAAATTATTTTCTCCGTTCGTACTAAAGAGAACGGCAAGGCGGTCGTGATTGAAGCACTCAGACGTGCAAAGGTAACATATCAGAAAAAAAAAAAAACCCTGCAATTTTCATGATTTCATTTTTAAATTAACCATATATTTAAAAAAATAGTACAAATTCCCTGGTCGCCAAAAAATTGTGGTGTCCAAAAAATGGGGATTCACAAAGCTGTCTCGGGAGGAATACGTGGATAAACGACAAGCCGGCCACTTGCAGCCAGATGGTGCTTATGTGAAATACCTAACTAATCGTGGGCCTCTTAACAAACATCTTGCACAAATTGCGCAGATTTCCGCTTAATAATACATGATTAGAAATTATTTTTTATTGTTTACTTTTTGCGAAATGTTATTTGTAATGTAAATGAAAATAAATTATAATAATCAAAAGATTGGCCCGTGAAATCAATTTATTTTATTATGCTGTTCTTACAAGTTATTATCAGAATGATATTTTTTAGGAGGTAAAGTCGTTAAAAATGACCATGTTACTCCTTGTATTTGTTCAACAGTTGGAACAAGGCAAGGTATAACCGTTACCGGATCGCCTTCTATAATAGGTGCAGATAGACAATCCGAAGGTCTGCCATATGGATGAATAAGAAAAGAATCCTATCAATGAAAAATCAGAAATAAATTAGACAGAGACGATAAAATAGAAACAAGAATGAACATTCAAATTTACCTCAAAATTTGAATCGCCATAGCACCATTGAGTGTTTTTAGCGTAATATGATGAATTCATTAATAAAGTATTATCATCCATATTCCATGCTAGACTTTATTGTTATTAATATTTTAGTATGAGATTTAAACATTTAACATAACCGCAGAACATACATAGTCTCATCTGGTCCAAGTATTTGTACTGGATTAGTGCAACCATCGTAACTTTGTTGTGAAAGTTTTACCGAAAACTTAGTTTGAGTAGGAACATTAGCACAGTCCTTCACATGCAAGGGATTAGTAGAAATGTCCAGACACCTCCACTGGTATTCTGTAAAGAACAAACGTATGTCAAAAAATTTATTTAAAAGAAAAAAAAAA